TTCAAGGATAAATATTTCAGGATTAATAAGCAATACTAAATTTTTATCCCAAGATTATTTTTGCTTATTATCGTACCAAATGACCCCCGAGTAGCTTCTGTTTGTATAAAATTACATTATAATAACATTTTATGCACTTAAGCTTTTATATGCTTGCTATATCATAAACGACTTGAATTTAATCGTTCTGCTGCGTAGTTCGACCTCCGTTTGGTTTCCTACTAAACCTTCGTTTATTTATTTATTTATAGAACAAATATTCAGATTAAAGGTACTAGTCTTTAGGTCCACCCACAACGGTTCACTTTCAGAAGCTAATATAAAATCAAAATTATCCCATTACATCATTTAGTTGAAGGGAGATGAAAATTTAAAAACTCTAATTAAACACCATATTATTACTCTTCTAACATTGAAAGATTGCACGAAACTAATTAAAGTTGCAGGTTCAATTTCGCCTGTCTATTTAGTATAATAATAGATTCAAATAAGTATTAGAGATCATTAGCAACTTGCAATAATGCGACTAATTTATAATTTTAGTACTGATACGAGTTATCATCTGCACAGCAAGCAACTAATTATACGTAAGCAAGTGCAAGTAATTAATTAGACTTTTTGGACGAATGGCGCATTATTAATGTTTACTTCTCGTGTTCTTATTTTTCATACATGAATAAAGATGTCTACCAAATTGATAGGGGAAAAAATAGAAAATTTTATGTCTTGGTAAAATAATAATACATTATATAGGTTAGTGATCGTTTTGAGTATAATTAAAGGCTGACAAACAATTTATGTTGTCAACCAAGTTCAGATTAAAGCGGTTTAATTTGCAATTAGATGGTGGCTCCACGAGACTCAGCAATTAGAAATAGTTAAATTGGGAGGGAATTTGTTCCCTTTTGTTTGGAGTTTTGAGTGGAAAAAGTCTCACCTTATACTCTATAAGAGCAAAGTTCATTTTGAAGTAGTCTAACGCTAGCGTTATACATCAAGATTCTTTCTATAATAAAATAACTAAAATAATTAATCCAAATAGCCGCTCACCCTAGCACTTAAACTAAAAATAGATGGTGAATGTATAATATATGCGTAATTTATGTATTGCATATGTATAATTGTATATAATCTATGTATATGACTAAAAAAAGTAAACAATTAATATGACCGGTTATATGTGTAAAACCCCGGTATGAAGAAAGGGACTGACTCATTCTTTGGTTTGTAAGTCCAACTTATCTGCGAAGTAGTCATAACTCATGACACCAAATAAGATTATGATTATTATTACTATAATGCTAAAAACCCAATATGGGGAAAGATGGAATTCTTTAGCAATTATGACCAAATGATATGCGGGGTAAATATTTGCTATGGAAGTTTGCTTATTCATATATTTTTGACCCTTACCAAACGATAATATTGACCATCAATGTCAAACCAGAATTTTTCTCATTTATGCTCGTATTTTAATTACTCCGGCATTAATTTTGTACTGGTCTGTTTTAAAGAATGAATTTTTTATATTTAAAATAATTTAATTTAAATTTTTATTTTACTTTTAATGACTTACTTTTATAATTATAGAAATGTGCTATGATAATGTTTAAATTTGCAACTTTCAAAGTATTATTTTTATTTATCATACTTCGTATCCAATCAAACCACGTCACATGAATTGAAATTAATAGCATGCAAAATAGTATCTCAAACTTTAAAAGAGCTTATATCTTGTGTTGTGTTATGTAAAAGAGTTTAGCAGTCTGGTTTTCAAATCAATTCAATGGATTTGTGTCATTTGTGAACAACGATGTAGCTTTTTAGGAAATTATCCTAGCAAGAAACAGCTGGGGTTGCTAACCGATAACAAATGTTTTAAGTAAAATTTTGCACATACGACGTATCTGTAAGATTTTAACTCTTTAATTATCAAAGTGGCGAGTGAATGAGCTTCGTAATTTTCGTAAAAATGTTTTAAAAGGCAATTTAATTTGTCTCTATCTCTCACCAGCAGAATAAATATAAATACTCCATCTGTTTCAATTTATATAGCTTCATTAATTAAGCACAAAGCTTAAGAGAGTAAAAAAAACTTTTAACTCTTGTTGTTTTAAGCTAAAGTCGTGTGTGATATAACAAAATATTCTTGATTTCTGTGGTCTCAAACTCTTAAATATATATATATATGTGAGAAATTGGAGTTAAAAAGTTATTAAATATAGAATATAGAAAGAGGTATTCTTTTGTAAGAGACCAAAAAAACATAAAAACATCTAAAAACCAAGGTGTCAAGTGGAAGACCTTTGTAATCTTCGTAAAAAAGCCAATTCGGCTCTCTCTTTGAATAAATCCAAACACAAAAAAAGTCAAATTTTAAACAATCACGCGTTGCTTTCCCTTTTCAATGCCGCTTTTAGCCTTCAGTCAACCTTTCTCTGCCACCTTTCTATATATACCCCTATCGTTCAAAATCCCATCAATCAACATATATCTTCTTTCTCAAAATCTCTCTCTCTCTCTAAAAGTTGAAATCTTTACTTGTGAAAGAAGCAAAATGAGGACTGGTTTTTTCTCTTCACCCAAACATTCTTCTACTACTTCTAATTCCCCTTCACGTCATACTACTTTTTCTGAAACTTTAATGGAGGAAACAATTAACGACGCTGGAGCAGTTATTAAAAGATGGGATTTAGACGTATCCTCTTCCAGTAGTTCTTACAATAGAGTCGCTAATCTTTTCAGAGATTATCGTGAAGAGGCACATCAATTTATTGATGCTGTAAACAACTTACAACATGGTATGCATTTTGTTATTAAAGAAAGTTCAAGATCCGAACTCCTTATTCAGGCTCAAAATCTCATGCAAATTGCTATGAAAAGACTTCAAAAAGAAATGTACACTATTTTATCTGGGAATCGTTATTTCTTAGACTCAGAAACTGTGTCTAATTCTCGATCCTCTAGAGCATCAACTCGGTCCAGTGTTTCCGACGAAGATGATGAAATTAATGAGATAATTGAGGCCGAGGTTTCGGTTTCAGGTACTCGAATTTCTGAGATTGACAAAGTGTCTGAACGTGTCATGGCTGATTTAAGAGCCATAGCTGATTGCATGATTGGTGCTGGTTATGGTGCAGAGTGCGTTAAGATTTATAAACTTAATCGAAAATCAGTTGTCGACGAGACCTTGTATTATTTAGGTGTTGAAAAATTAACCTTATCGCAAGTTCAGAAAATGGATTGGTCATCACTGGAGCTGAAAACGAAGAATTGGTTAAGTGCTGTTAAGATAGCAGTGAGTACTCTATTTCAAGGGGAAAAAATTCTCTGTGATCACGTTTTCTCTGCTTCTGATGCAATCAGAGAAACGTGCTTCTGCGAAATTGCTAAAGAGAGTGCACTCACGCTCTTTGCGTTTCCAGAAATTGTAGCAAAGTACAAGAAATTATCTCTAGAGAAAATGTTCAGTGTGCTTGATTTGTACAACTCAATTTCCGAGCTATGGGATGAAATAGAGTTGATTTTTAGTTTCAATTCATTGACGGCGGTGAAATCTCAGGCGGTAACGTCACTGGTCAAACTCGGCGAAGCCGCGAGGTTTATGCTCTCGGAGTTTGAATCGGCGATTCAGAAAGATTCATCCAAAGCGGTGGCAGGCGGTGGTATCCACCCTCTGACTCGGTACGTTATGAATTATCTCGTTTTCCTCAGCGATTACAGTGGTGCGTTTTCTGAAATAATCGTCGATTGGCCGCTGTCGATTCAATCGCCGTTGCCGGAATCTTACTTTCTCAGTCCAACTCCCGACGACGATGACTCGCCTTCTTCCGCCGTCTCCGTCCGCCTTGCATGGCTCGTCCTCGTCCTCTTATGCAAACTTGACGGCAAAGCTCAGCACTACAAGGATGTTTCATTATCCTATCTGTTCTTAGCGAACAACTTAAACTACGTCGTTTCAAAGGTCAAAAAGTCAAACCTGAAGCTTTTGCTTGGATCCGATTGGTTATTAAAGCATGAAGCGAAGGTAAAACAGTACATTTCAAATTACGAAAGAATGGGATGGAGCAAAGTACTGACGTCATTCCCGGAAAATTCTACGGCTGAGATGTCTCCGCCGGAAGCAAGAGATTGGTTCATTAAATTCAATTCGGGTTTTGAGGAAGCGTATCGAATGCAGAGTTCGTGGGTTATACCCGACCCGAAACTCCGAGATGGAGTCAAAATATCGTTGGCTAAAAAAGTTATTTCCGGTTACCGGACGTTTTACGAAAAGTATCGGGAAACACTGAGAAGTGGCGGAGTGAAGTCAGTTGTCAGATTTGCCCCTGATGATTTGCAAAATTACTTGTCAGATTTATTTCATGGAACTGGGTCTTCAGAGCATGGGACGACGTCGTACAGCTCATCACATTCGTCGCCGTCAGTTTCAACGTCGTCATCTCCGTCACATGGCCGTTAAGATTTAACAGAAGAGATTTGTGTACATGGAATAGAATATTTTATTTAATTTGTTTATAGAATTTTGTGGTGTACTTGTACAGGAAAATTATATTCAATTCATTCATTTAATGTAGAAAACCACTTGATTCATATAGTTGTCTTTTAGATTTGGATGTTTTCTTTGATTGTGTTGTGGATTAATATAGGCTGGCCGTTTTCCATGGATTTGACAAATTCTAAGAGAAATTGAAAAGGTCACTCAACTCCCATCCAAAAATAATAAATGGAGTTAAATATAATACCTTTGTCTTTGCTCTAGGTTATTTTTATTTGACATCTATGTTTATCATATTTTCATTTGTAAACACTCAATTGTTAAAATTATTAGGGAAATGAAGTGATGATTCTTTATATAATCTTGAATAATTTTCATCTCGAATAATTTTAAGTTGAGTTAAATTAAAATTTATTTATTTTAGCACAATTAAGCCAATGCCAAAACAAATTTAATCTTCGTGAACCCATGAGAGATATCTGATGGGAATATTGCAATAATATTTTTTAAATAATACTTTGAATGACTATTGATAACAACAAATAAAAGATACACCTAAAGAGCACCGAATTGCACAACTACCTTCCAGAAAGGGTGCTGTAATTCTTAGGCCTCAAGACATTCACTAGTTACACAATATTTTCTGCAAAAATCCGCTACAATTGTGCACTTTTCCAGACCGTTTGAGTATATCTAATCTTTCTATAATTTTTTTTTAATTTGTGTGACTAACATCTTAGCATGTATAGTTGTTACCTTGAAAAGCTTCTAGTTTCTAGCTCTCCATGTGTAGTATATCAATGCTACCCATATAGATGTAATCTTTTCCTTCTTGAATTGCTTCCAATATTTTCTTTTAATGCTGTCTAATACTTGTTGTAATAATACTACAACAATATTATTATTTAGAAAATAGAGAAGAAATAAAGAAGGAAAAAGAAATGAAAACTTTTGGTCGTCGGAGATGGCATCACCGAATTAGATACAGCTCGTTGCGACAAGTCCATGCTCGAGATAATGAAATCGAACTTCCGATTTGCATCCTTAACATCATCGAGTTGAGTTTGAAACTGATTCTGGTTCGTTTTTATATATTCGAACCTTTGGCTTGCATGCTCCACAAACAAAGAAAGTTGCACACGCATATCTCTCATCTCCGTTTTAAAGTTTGAATCTCTGAATTTGAGGCCGTGGTAGCTGAAGTTTGAGTCCCAGGCGGCTCTGATACTATTGTAACAAGATGATTGCTCTTGTTACCAGTAAGAAAGAGAATAGAGAGAATAGAGAGAAAAGAGAGAGAAGAAGATAAGGAAAAAAGAAAATTTTGATTCAATATCGGGGTGCCTTCCTCCGAGTACATTGACAGCATAAATAGCAGAGTATCCAATATTGGATTCTGGACTCTTCCTAATAGCTTGACACCCGTCCAATTCCACTAATAGAATTATGGACTTCTTTGAACATAAACCATAAACTAAAGAACTCAAATAGACGTAATAAATACTTAACTAACGACTACTAAGAACTTAGCTAAATCACTTAAAATTCAAAAAATCTCTAATCATAACATATTGTCATAATTATTTGTCTAATTTTTTTTTTCTTTTGTTTTGATAAGGTTTCATTATCTGTCCTTTTCTCTTTCTTTGGATCAAAAGCTCACTCCGATGACTTCTAAATCAGCTCAACTCACTGCGATAGTCATTGCTCACTCAGTTCAAGCAATAGCTGAAGCTGGAGGAGTTTCAGGTACTAAGAATTCTTTTCCCTTGAATCATACTCTTTTCACCCCTTCAACTTACCATATTCGTTGTGGTTTCACTTTAGCTCCAGCTCCAGTTTTTAATACCCACCTAGTTTTCAAAATCATATTTATTATTCTAGCTCCCCCTGTTAACCCTGCTGAGCCTAAAATAAACCAAAAAACTTTGAAATCAAAACTCAATTTTTCTTATTTTAATGGAACTAATCCTAGAGGGTGGCTACGAAAGAGTGAGAAATTCTTTGAGTTGTATGGCTAAGTTACACTTCAATGCATGTGAGGGATAAGGTGGATGATTTTAACAAATTATATAGATTGAGGGTGTAGACCAATATCAGGAAAGGTTTGAGGACTTGACAAGCTATATGACCATTATAAACCCTCTATTGAATGAAACTTACTTTGTTTCCAGTTATATTAGTGTTCTCAAACATGAGCTTAAACCATTAGTTAAGCTGGCCAATCCTCTGACTATTATGGATGCTTATGAAATTGTAAAGTTATATGAGGAATCAATTTTAGCTCTCACTGCACATATTCCATTTAGAAATTATCAAACCCTCACCTATCCCAGACCATTAGCCATTACCTATCCAATAGCCCCACAAACTTTAAAACTTACACAACTTCCAGTACCAAATCAACCTTTGAAAATTACTTTTCTAAATCAGAGAGCTGTCTATAGAGCTCCCTTCAAACCAAACACTTTTGAGGTACTCAGAACCCAGGGACTTTGTTTTAAGTATCGTGAGAAGTATGAGCCTAGACACTAATGTAAGGTTAAAACTCTACATGCCATGGAAGGGGTCACAACTGAAGGGGAGCCAGAAATAGAAGAATTTTTGGATGTTCCTGAGACTTTGGAGGAACATATGGAGGAACAATCTGAGGTCTTCCTCAATGTAGTGATGGGGTTAAGTTCTCTGAAGGAGCCATTTCAACTATTAAAATAATGGGATGATGCAAAACAGATTTCGTTGACCATATTGATAGATAATGGCTTTACACTTTCTTTTATTGATCCACATATAGTAAATTGTTAAAATTACCTGTGCAACCTATGACTATTACATTGAGAGTGGTAGTGGCTAATGGCCAAGTCATGAGATCTGATCAGGAAAGCTCTCTATTTAATTGAAAAATGCAAGATGAAATCTTTGCTTTTAAAATTAGATTACTCAAGGCTGGGGGATGTGACATGGTCTTGGGAATAGACTGGATTGATGTAGTAGCTCAAGTGGTCTTGAATACTAGACCTCACAGCCTGAGCTTCATGAAAGATGGCAAAATTGTGACCTTAATTGGAGTTAATGCTGGACCTGAGGTGATCCCAATTGATACTGAAGCTTTAAGAAGAATGTTGCATCGTGGTACCTGTGAGGTAATGGATGAATTATCTCTGACAACTACTGGTCCTATAGAAAAAGGTGAGAAGGAGACGTACCCGCATCGGAAAGGTTGCTATCAGTATACAATGATGTGTTCCAGGAGCCAACCGATTTACCACCTGAAAGAGATCGTGATCATGTTATCAACCTAATCCATGCTGCTTAACCTTTCAATCTAAGGCCATACATGTATTCTCATGATCAAAAGACTGCAATTAAATCTATTATCAATGATATATTGGAAGCTGAGACATTGATTTTCAGTCAATCTTCATTTGCCTCACCTGCTTTGTTGGTTAAAAAGGACTCAACTTGGTGACTGTGTTGTGACTATAGAAGGTTAAAAAATTTAACTGTGAAGAATAAATATTCTATCCCCATGATTGATGATTTTTTGGATGAGCTACATGGAGCTACTGTGCTTTCTAAGATAAATCTTGGATATGGTTATCACTAGGTGAGAATGAAGGCTGGGGAGGAGTGCAAGACATCCTTTAAAACTTATCATGGTTGTGGCAATTCAAGGTCATACTCTTTGGATTAACTAATGCCCCAACCACTTTTCAATCATTGATGAATTCTGTGTTCAAGTAAAAAAAATGAGAAAGTACATACTAGAATTATTTGATGATATACTAGTGTACAATAAAAGTATGACAGAATACTTGGAGCATTTGAAAATGGTACTTCAACTGCTAAGAAAGAATCAGCTATTTGCAAAAAAGATCAAGTGTGAATTTGGACAATCACGGGCGGAATACTTAGTCCATGTCATTTCAGGCAAAGCAGTAAGCACCGACCATAAAAAGGTATCAGCTATGCTAGAATGGCCACAACCAAGTTCTGTAAAAGAGTTAAGAGGTTTCCTAGGGTTGACTGGTTACTATAAAAAATTTATCAAGAATTATGCTCAGTTAAGTAAGCATGTAACCAATTTACTAAGGAAGGGGAGTTTCAACTGGAATGAGGAAGACTACTGTAGCCTTCCAGTACCTTAAACAAGCTATGATAGTTTCTTCAGTTCTAGCTTTACCTAATTTCAGTAGACCTTTTATTCTTGAAGTGGATGCTTGCCACACTGGGGTGGGAGCAGTATTAATGCAGGATAGAAGGCCTCTGGCATTCCTAAGTCAGTCCTTAAGTAAGAGACACCAAGGATTATCTACCTATGAGAAGAAGTTGATAGCTCTACTTATAGCAGTAGACAGATGGGGACATTACTTGCACCCACACCACTTCATAATCAAAACAGACCCCTTCAGTTTGAAGTTCTTGCAAGAACAAAAAATCACAACATCCCTTCAGCATAAAGGCTTAACCAAGATGATGGGCTTAAGCTTTGAGATCTAGTACAAAAGCAAGAATCCCGTGTTTCTTTTGTTAAAATAAGGACAAATAGTTTAATTCGACATTTCCTAAGAATAAACTTAGTGAAATCCCCTATTTCATATATCAGAAAAAGGAATGATGGGAGTGGAGAATATTGTGACAGATGCATTGTCAAGGATAAATGAGCAACCACTTGAAGCTGATCTGCCACATTGTCTAGTGATAACTAATTTGCAGACTAATGGTTTGATTAAGTGATTGCAAGTTTTGAAGCATATGAGAAGGTGATGCAAACTATGACATTACTCAACAACAACCCTTCTACATTGGTGAATGACACTCTACAACAAGGTATCTTAAGGTATAAAGGGAAAGTTTAGGTTGGCAAACTTGAAACTCAAAGATAGCAACAAATCTTAACCATTCACAGCTTTAGGTCGGGTGGTCATTCAAGAATAATAACAACCTATCAAAGACTAAAAGAAATTTTCTAGTGGCATGCTATGATAAATAATATGAAGAAGATAATTCAAGAGTGTGAAATCTGTCAAAGGTGCAAAAATGAACATGCTTACCCAGGATTATTACAACCTCTGTCAGTACCAGAGAAAGCTTGGGAGCATATATATCTATGGATTTTATTGAGAGCCTGCCAAAGTCAGAAGGGCAAGATACTATCTTGGTCGTGGTAGATATATACAGTAAATATGCACCCTTCATTGCATTGGCTCATTCTTTCACTGCCCCACAGATTGTCAGGGTATTTATGACTACCGTTTATAAATTGTATGGTGTACCTAAGAGCATTGTATCTGACAAGGATAAGGTCTTCCTTAGTAACTTCTGGAGGGAACTTTTTAAGAATTTATAGGTACAGTTACGCTTTAGCTCAGCCTGTCATCCACAAATAAATGGACAGATTGAGAGAGTAAACAGATGCTTGGAGAATTACCTAAGATACATGACAGGGCATAAACCTAAAAAGTGGAATTAATGGCTCTCATTGGCTGAGTTTTGGTACAATAGTAATTACTACTCTACCTTGAAGATGACTCATTTCAAAGTGTTGTATGGATATGAACCACCACAACTCTCCGTTGAGTTGATTTCACAGACAAAAGTGGCTGCTATAGATCAAGTCTTGAAGGAGAGACAAATCATGGCAAAGGCATTAAAAGAGAATTTGGAAAAGGCTCAAAACAGAATAAAGGTGAATTCTGACAAGACGAGGACATAAAGAGAATTCAATGTTGGTGACTGGGTATTTCTGAAACTGCAACCCTATAGGCAGACCTCTGTGGCTGTAAGAAAGAGTTTGAAGCTGGCTTCTAAGTTCTATGGGCCTTACCAGATAGTGCAGAAGATTGGAGTTGTTGTACATAAGCTCAACTTGCCTCACTTCCAAGATACATCTTGTTTTCCATATTTCTCAGCTTAAGAAAAGGATTAGATAGCAAGTCATTCCATCTATTGATCCTCCAAATTGCTCTTCTAATGGACAACCTCTGATAGAGCCAATTGTTGTGCTTGACAGGAGGATGGTGAAGAAGGGGAGCAAAGCCAATACTTAGATTTTGGTGCAATGGGCTAACCTGCTGCCAGGAGAAGCTACCTGGGAAGATTGCAATTTCATAGTATCTCATTTTCTAGATTTTAATGAACCCTTCAGGACAAGGTTCTGAAGAAGGATGGAATGTTATGATTAGAGATTATTTAAATTTAATTGATTTAGTTGAGTCCTTAGTAGTCGTTAGTTAAATCATTATTATGTCTATTTGGGTCCCTTATATTATGGTTTATGTTCAAAGAAGTCCATAATTCTAACAGTGAGATTGGACAGGTGTCAAGCTATTAGGAAGAGTCCAGAATCCAATGTTGGATTCTCTGTTATTTATGCTATCAATGTATTGAGAGAATGGCATCCCGACATTGAATCAAAATTTCCTTTCTTCCTTATCTTCTTCTCTCTTTTTTCTGTCTATTCTCTTTCTTACAGGTAACAAGAGCAATCCTCTTGTTACAACATCTCTATAAAAAGACAAGAGCAAGGGACCAATGTACATTTTCTCTTTTTAATCATTTAGGTTTTATTTTTTCTTCCCTTTCTCTAGATAGTTCTTTTTATCTTATTGTCTATTATTTTTCTCAATATATAAGATTATAAGTTTATAATTGTAAAATATCTATCATACTCAGAGGTTGCATCGGGATTTGTACAAGAAAATTTCAAGATAAAAGATAACATAATTGGGATTTGAATATGTGATCTAAAATAATTTTCAACTCCTTCATCACTACATTAAAATTTTCTCTATTTCAAGGGAATTCAATTGTTCATATATTACAACAACGTAACAAAAATTTATTTTTACTTTATTTATGTAATATATTTTTACAGTAAGAGGAATCAATTAAACCTCTTACGTCCATCTAGACTGATACTACCCTTCATTGTCAACATTCAGATCCAGCATGATGTTGGATTAAAACAAATGTGAGGGATGAGGATGGAATTATGAGTTAAGTGATAATTTAGGGGTCATATTAGAAATTCACTTCTAGAATTATTTAGTAATTGGTATGACAAAATTTTAATATTTGTTTAGCTGAGATTGAGTATTCCAAATTTCAAAAAAAAAAAAAAAAAAACGACGGATCGACCATCTAGAATCGACAAGGTATTACGTTGGATCTTCACCTCTAAACTATTTATTTGTTTTACTGTATATGAATAACTTCTTAAGTCTCCATTTACTCTATTTTATTCAACCTTACAATTATTTGAAGAAGTTATATTTTTATATTACAACAAAAATTTAAATAAATACCTTAAGTTTTTTATGAAGGTGGCGCTATAACTCTTTTTATGTAATATTGAAATACGTCGATTTTATTTTTCAGAAGATGATGCATCATCCTTATGTGATATTATTGTATTTCTCATGCCATATTCTAAAAGTTGAAAGAACCATTCCACTTGACTTTAATTTCCATCTCTTTTGTAAGGTTATCATTGCGTCATTTGAGATTTTGAGTGTATGACTTTGTTTTTCTGATTATATTTATTATGAATTTTTAGTACTGCTCAGAAAGTTTATTTTGTTTAATTGATTACGTTCTGTTGTGTTAAAAATAAAGTTTGGCGAGTTGGGTCATAGGGCGGATTAATAAAATGGTTTTAATGAATGATTTTTTATTTTTTAAAAGGTCGAGTTAAAAAGGAATTGCCACATCAGCAAAAACAACCATAAAAAAAATAAATCACCTAAATATGTAGAGTAACTTTATAAGTAAATACAAAAATAAAATAATATTTTTGTTACAAAAATAAAGAAAAGTAATTTTCTTGAACAATATTCATTAATTGATTGACCGTTTGGGATGTCTAACTCCCAAAAATAAAAGACAAATATTAAAAAACGAAAGCTCAAGGAAAAACAAAGTCATCAGGAAAAGAGAAGGTGTTTGGATCTTCATCTTGTATCCACCCAAACTTCTCCAAAAAAGGATTAGTTGTATTTTTTGGTGGATAATTATCAATGCAATCTTTCCAAACATTTCCATCTCCCAAATCTCTTAACACTTCCCATAAACAACTTTTACACTTAAACCCTCCTCCAAACCTAATCATAAGCACTTTATCACCTTTATTTAATCTTTTTTAGCCTCCATATACCCCAATACATACCAAAGACTACTTGCTGAAGTGTTATCAAATCTATGTAAAGTCATTCTTGCTGGCTCTAAATCATACTCACTTAGATTCAAATTTGTCTCAACTCCCATCACTCACTGCTTTTCCTCCTATATGAAGGCAAATATGATTCACGCTTGTTTTGAAATTGATCACTGGCCTAACTTCTCCTTTTGTTGAACCCCAATTAATTTTTCTCACAAGTGACACAATTGCAAATCTAAGTAATATAGGGTCACAAGTTACACAATTGCCGCCGACATGTCTCCCACAACATCCGAGGCCCTCCTCTTATGAGGCATAAAATCCCCATCACCAGGAAAAGGCTCTTCGTCCTCATCTATAAGACGGTGCAAGGGAGAAGTCGGTGTTTCCACGATCGAAGAAGGAATAGATTCGGACGCAACAATAGGAGGGACCGAGACACGAGCAGAATCAGTCGTAGTTAAAGAAGGGGCGGGAGCCGAGATGCAGTAGCTTTCCTCTTTCGGAACGAGGGTGCAGGAGATTTCGACCTCTGCGAAGATCCGTTAGCCGAAGCTAAGAAAAACTTAGGTAAAGAAAAATGCCAGCAAAGGAAACAAAAAGAAAAGAACCAAGACACCGATGATAAAAGGAACGTACAAGTCGAAGGAAAAGCAGGCCCAAACTTCTTAAAGAAACCTGACCACTCATGAATCCCTACGATGTAAGGGAGGAGTCGACCAACCCAGTCAAAAATGTGAGCGACCGAAGGGGGAGGCGAGGTCTTGGCTGCATGAGAAAAGGATAAGGGGTCAAATTTTCCGACCAAGCATAAGAGAAAAATCAGATATCTACAAGCAAGGAAATTAGGTACTTATGAGTATGATTCCAAGCCTCAGAAAAATCGTCGACGTTGGCCACCACGTCCTCGGTTCTGATGAAGAAGAAGTTGAACCAGAATTGGTGGTTGGATTTGTTGTCCATCTTCACCACCAAGAACTTGCCTCCTCGGTGGCGAATATTCAACATCGCCCCCTATAAAAGCTAGTGGCAAACAGATGTATTAAATGCCGAAGTGTCAGTTCGACCTCGTTTAGCTCGGAAAATTAAGTAAGCATTTTTATAAGTTTATAAACGTACGGCGCGAGCTGAGCTGGGAAAATGCCGTAATAACAACAGAATTTCTCCGCCAACGGAAGGAGAGGGAGAGTGTAGCCGGCTTGGAAGGGGTAGGAATAGAAGGCGCAGTACCCAGAACGATGGACCTGCACCTATCCCACCCAGCCGGTATTAATTCAATATGATTGGAAAGGCCAAACTTAGCCTTAAGCTCTTCCAATTCCTTCACCGTCATCACTGACCGAAAGTTTCCAGGGCCAGCTTCAGGTAATTTGGTGAAATCGAATCTGGAATTAGGGTTGCGAGGAGTCATCTCCTCCACAGACGGGAAAGTTCCATCCTCGACGGCGGCATGAACACTCTCCTCATGAGGGGGAAACACCATTGCCAAAGGGACCACATCACTTTCCTCACCAAACTCAGAAGGCATGTTGGACATATTTTGATAAAGAAAAGAGAGGTATCAAACGACGAAGAACTAAGAACAATACGAATCACTAGAACTGAGAAGAGAGGTTCAAAGCAAAGAAAGAGCAAGAGAGTAATGAAGGATTTCGAAATAACAGAAAAGTTAAACCTCAAAATCTCAGCCAAATACCTTATATTTATAAGGGTCTTGGCACTAGGACCGAAAACGACTCTTCATTACTGGCACCGGAACCGAAGCGGCGGGTTCAATTAGAGGTTACACGTGAAACGAAGCAACGCATCGGCAATATGCATCATAATAATACATGATATAATCCTAACTCGTGGACAACATAATTCCAATAAATCATTCGGGAAAATCGAAGCGTTTGAAATGAGCAGCCCACTTAGGGCCACGTTGCGAGTTTGCCGTAACCACCACGACCTGCACAGTTCGCTCGATTGTTTCGACCATAAAGAATAAGATCCACTCATCGAACCCGCCTGAAGCCGGCCTGAATAAACAGAGGGACTAATTGTACATGTCGAAATTTGTCTTTAGAATATTTAAGCCAAGATGGCACGAAGGGAAGAGTGTCCAAGTCGTCGTTTGTCGAAATGGCTCAAAGAGCAGTGAAGTATGTGGTTGAAGAGTCAACGAGAGCTTGTAACAACCCGCCCGGTCGTTTTGAGAGTAATAGTCCTGATCCCCTATTTACTATTTTCCCTGTACCTTTTTCTGCTTATGTGACTTGCCGGGAGGTTGTTGTTGTGGTTTTGGAGTGAATTGGGACACTTAGTCCCTAAAATGGAAGCTTAAGTCTTAGGATTTTGACCGTAGTTAGAACTGTATGAAGACGACTCCGGAATGGAGTTTCGTTGGTTACGTTAGCTCCGTTGGGTGACTATAGACTTAGAAGCGTGTCCGGAATGTGAATTGGAGGTCTGTAGCTAAATTAGGCTTGAAATGGTGAAAGTTAAATTTTTGAGAAGTTTGACCGGTAGTAAAATTTTTGATATCGGGGTTGGATTCTAATTCGGGAAATTGGAGTAGGTCCGTAATGATGAATATGACTTGTGTGAAAAATATAAGATCAATCGGATATGGTTTGATAGGTTTCGACATCGGTTGTGGAAGTTTGAAACTTTGAAGTTCATTAGGCTTGAATTGAGATGTAGTTCATATTTTTAGCGTTGTTTGATGTGATTTAAAGGTTCAACTAAGTTCGTATGGTGTTTTAGGACTTGTTGGTATGTTTGGTTGAGGTCCCGGGGGTCTCGGGTGAGTTTTGGATGGTTATCAGATCATTTTTGGACTTGGAAGAATTTCTGGTGCTGGGTTGGTTCTGGTGTAATCGCACTTGTGCAAGGCTGCCCGCAGGTGCGAGCAATATGGAGCAGAAGTGGAGTTGGGTGGATTGGTCAGGGGTCACAGGTGTGTGGATAAGGCCACATTTGCGATGCCCGCAGATGCGCAAGGCTGACCGCAGGTGCGAAGTGAGACCGTAGAAGTGGACAGGATTTCCGCAGGCATGCACTCGTAGGTGCGGCACCTTCATCGCAGTTGCGGAGGCAGAGGGGAATAAGTGGTTTGTGCAGAAGCGCTTATTTTTCCACACAAGCGCACGCGCAGGTGCGGAAATGCCTTGGCAATGTTTAAAACCGAAGGGCTTCATGATTTTTGTCATTTTGGACTTTGCAAACTCGGTTTAGGGCGATTTGTGAGAGCATATTCGAGAGATTTCTTGAGAGGTGTACCTCCACAGATTTC